CACAAAACTGTTTCAGTGTAGCAATATTCTTGGGATGTCTGGTGTGACAGCATTTCACAGCATTTCAATCGGGTTGAGGTCAGGACTCTGACTGGGCCACTCCAGAAGGCGTATTCTGTGCTGTTGCAGCCATTGTTTTGTTGAATTACTTGTATGATTTGGGTCATTGTCCTGTTGCATCACCCATCCTCTGCGGAGCCTCCGTTGGCGGACAGATGGTCGTACGTTTTCCTGCAAAATGTCTTGATAAACTCTGGAATTCATTTTCCCATCAATGACAACAATCCGTCCAGGCCCTGAGGCAGCAAAGCAGCACCAAACCATGATGCTCCCTCCGCCATGTTTTACAGTGGGGATGAGGTTTTAATGTTGGTGTGCTGTGCCTTTTTTTCTCCACACATAGTGTTGTGTGTTCTTCCCAAACAACTCAGTCTTGGTTTCATCTGTCCACAGTATATTTTGCCAGTAGTGCTGTGGAACATCCAGGTGCTCTTTTGCAAACTTCAAACGTGCTGCAATATTCTTTTTGGACAGCAATGGCTTCCTCCGTGGTGTCCTCCCATGTACTCCATTCTTGTTTAATGTTTTCCTTATTGTAGATGTGTCAACAAAAATGTTAGCATGTGCCAGAGATTTCTGTAGGTCTTTAGCTGACATTCTGGGATTCTTCTTTACCTCATGCAGCATTCTGCGCTGTGCTCTTGCAGTCATTTTTACAGGACGACCTCGCCTAGGGAGAGTAGCAACAGTGCTAAACTTTCTCCATTTGTAGACAGTCTGTCTTACCGTGGACACATGAACATCAAGGCTTTTGGAGATACTTTTGTAACCCTTTCCAGCTTCATGCAAGTCAACAATTCTTGATCGTAGGTCTTCTGAGAGCTCTTTTCTGCGAGGCATGGTTCACATCAGACAGCGCTTCTTGAAACCAGTAAACCCAAAACAGGTGCGTGTTTTTTAAGGGGGCCGGACAGCTGTCAGCAACACATCCAATATCATCACACTGATTGGAGTCAAGGTTGGCTCACTCCTGGCTCCAATTAGCTCTGGGAGAAGTCATTAAGCTAGGGCCTCACATACTTTTTCCTCCCTGCACTGTGCATGTTTACATGTTATGTGCAATTAAACCATGGCAACATCTAATGTTTGTGTAGTATTATGTTCAGCAGACTGTGTTCTTCTATTGTTGTGACTTAGATGACGTTCAGAGCACATTTTATGCCCAATTCATGCAAAACTCCACGTAATCCCAAGGGGTTCACATACTTTTTCGTGCAACTGTACACACACATACACACACAGTGGATATAAAAAGTCTACACACCTCTGTTAGAATGTCAGGTTTCTGTGATGTAAAAAAATGAGGCAAAGATAAACCATTTCAGAACCTTTTCCACCTTTAATGCAACCTATAAACTGTACAACTCACTTGGAAAATAAACTGAAATCTTTTAGGTGGAGGGAAGTAAAAATGAAAAACTAAAATAATATGAGTGCATAAGTCTCCACACCCTTAAACTTTGTTGAAGCACCTTTTGATTTTATTACAGCACTGTCTTTTTGGGTATGAGTTTATCAGCATGGCACATCTTGATTTGGCAATATTTGCCCACTCTTCCTTGCAAAAACACTCCAAATATGTTAGATTGCGAGGGCATCTCCTGTGCACAGCCCTCTTCAGATCACCCCACAAATTTTTCAATTGGATTCAGGTCTGGGCTCTGGCTGGCCATTCCAAAACTTTAATCCTCTGGTGAAGCCATTCCTTTTTTGATTTGGATGTATGCTTTGGGCCGTTGTCATGCTGAAAGATGAAGTTCATCTTCATATTCAGCTTTCTAACAGAAGCCTGAAGGTTTTGTGCCAATAATGACTGGTATTTGAAATTGTTCATAATTCCCTCCACCTTGACCAAGGCTCCAGTTCCAACTGAAAAAAACCAGCCCCAAAGCATGATGCTGTCACCACCATGCTTCACTGTGGGTATGGTGTTCTTTTGGTGATGTGCAGTGTTGTTTTTGCACCAAACATGTTTTTTGGAATTATGGCAAAAAAGTTCAACTTTGGTTTCATCAGACCATAACACATTTTCCCACATGCTTTTGGGAGAGTTCAGATGTGTTTTTGCAAAATTTAGCTGGGCTTGGATGTTTTTCTTCGTAAGAAGAGGCTTCCGTCTTGCAACTCTACCTCATAGCCCAGATATATGAAGAATATGGGAGATTGTTGTCACTGGTACCACACAGCCAGTACTTGCTAGATATTACTGCAGCTCCTTTAATGTTGCTGTAGGCCTGTTGTAAGCCTCCTAGACCAGTTTTCTTCTCATCTTTTCATGAATTTTGGAGGGACATCCAGTTCTTGGTAATGTCACTGTTGCACCATATTTTCTCCACTTGGGGATGACTGTCTTCACTGTGTTCCATGGTATATCTAATGCCTTGGAGATTCTTTTGTACCCTTCTCCTAACTGATCCCTTTTAACAATTAGATCCCTCTGATGCTTTGGAAGCTTTCTGCGGACCATGGCTTTTGCTGTAGGATGCGACTAAGAAAATGTCAGGAAAGACCTACTAAAACAGCTGAACTTTATTTGGGGTTATTCAGAGGCACTTTAAATGATGGCAGGTGTGTACTGACTCCTATTTAAAATGATTTTGAATGTGATTGCTTAATTCTGAACACAGCTACATCCCAAGTTTATAAGAGGGTGTGCACACTTATGCAATCACATTATTTTAGTTTTTTATGTTTACACCCGCATAAAAAATTTCCGTTTGTTTTTAAATTGAGTTGTATAGTTTATAGGTCACATTAAAAGGTGGAAAACGTTCTGAAATGATTTATCCTTGTCTCATTTTTTTACATCACAGAAACCTGACATTTTAACAGGGGTTTGTAGGCCTTTTATATCCATTGTATGTGTGTGTGTGTATATATATATATATATAGAGAGAGAGAGAGAGAGAGAGAGAGAGAGAGAGAGAGACAGATTCAGGTACTTATACTGCTGTATTTTACAATACATTTCTTTTTTTTTTCTTTCCAAAAATACATAGATGAGTTAAATATATGCTATACGTGGTACAATTTGCATCCGGGCATAAGGGCCCAACTCTGGTCCCAACAATAAATCCCCCCCCCCCATACTGCAAGAGCAAAATGTCTATTAAGCCTAGGGGGCACAGGAAGAGACTGCATTACTTACTTGACTCCCTGCTCTGGCCAGCTCCGGCGCTGTCCTCCTCTACCTGAAACTCTGGTCTGTGGTCATTTCCTTGGCGTCATCACATACAATGCGGGGCTATTAACTCTGTATGTATTTTCGGTGGGCAAGCATGCAACCTCGACTAAGGCTGGCCAAACATTATACAATTTTCTTGAGATTTTTGGTTTAGATTTACCAAAAACCATATAATAGGAGGTCAAACCTAACAACACTTTCAATTGTATCCAATTAGGCAGGCTCTTGCACTACATAGTTGAAGGTAAATCTAAAGAATCTAAGAAATTGTATAGTGTATGGCCAGCCTAAGGTGGGATAGGGACAGGGATGTGGGAGACTAGTCATACCACTGCAGGGTCCTTGCTGTAGCAAGGCAAAAGTTAAGTAATACATCCTCTTCTGCATTTCTCTGGACTTAATATACATTTAACCCTTGCAGTGTTGGGGGGCCCCACTGCAAGGATTTTTTTTTGCCTGGAATTATACTTTATTTTGCACCTGGCTGCCCCTAAAATTCCCAATATGTTACTATTTTGAACAGCTGAGTCAGAGACAGTGGAAAATGACTTGGCCAGTCCCTTGATCCTAGCACCAATGTTTTGCTAAACTCACCGCTGCATGCATCCTTCTTCAGGTCATTATAGTATACACAAATAAAAGGAACATTTGGTAGACATGCCGACTTATAGAAAGGCTTTTGGCTAGAATGTGCTAGGACAGCCTGACTGATGTTAGTTGTTGCCTGCCCCCAAGGTGATTTTTTACCTTTTTCATATCAGAGTTTAAACAAAGCTATTCTTCGGTCCATTAAATGAAATTAAAAGTTAGAGGCTGCCTAATTCTCACACAACATGTAAAACTCACCGCACACACAGCCCGTTAAAAATGAAAAGAAAGATAACTCTAAAAAGGAAACAGTCCTGCAACCTTTGCCACTGGATATCCTGTCCCCCCTACAACTACAACCCAATAATCGGATTTTATTACAAGATTATTGCGAGTGTTTCCTATGCGGAATGTGGACAGGCAGATAAAGAGTGAATCAGGGCTTTGTGCCAATGAGCACAGTCTAGAGACTGGAGAGAAGGAAAGAACTTCAGATCAGCTGATTTTGTGGTGGACACAGCTAGCAGCCTGACACTTTTATTACAAAACATCTAAATTGTCTCAGTGCGGAAGCCTTGGTCTGAAACCAGAACAGGCCAGAATAAAGCAGACACAAAGTGGTGATCCATGGCAGAGTGTCCAGTGAGCAGCAGCCTTACACATTGGCAGATGACAATAGATATATTTAGAAACATGCTGTTATTAACTAATGCACAATTTCTTTTTGAACGTGCAAAGTTGCAATTTAAGCATCCAGCATTATCTGGTGTATACTGCTCTGGTCAATGAAGTCAAGCAAAGTAGAAAACAGACAGATAACTCAATGTCTGCTCTGCACTGCAATACATAACCTGCAAAACTATTATATGTCCACTTTAGCTTATTGTATTTATTATGTTGTTTTTGTTAGAATTTCACACTGAGAACACATTCAAAGCAGTGAGGATGAAGAAATCTCCAGTGCCAGCTACTAGATGCATCAGTTACCTGAATACATTGGCAGGGGCGGACTGACCATTTGGAAACTCGGTCACTGCCCGAGGGCCCAAGGTCAGTAGGGGGCCCCATGAGATGCCCCTGGTACCTTTTTCATAGGTTTTTTTGAGTTTGGGCAAGGACACAGGGGCCCCATGATCCCCTATTGCCCGGGGGCCCCATGAGTTGTCAGTCCGCCCCTGTACATTGGTTACATCTGGTAGAATGCAGCCACTGTTCATCCAAATTATATTCCACCCAGCTCAGTTGATTTTAAATCGGCCATGGCACCCATGACTCAAATGTGATTCATCTATGGCCAGCTTAAAGTGGTTGTATAGGCAAAAGTTTTTTTGTTTTGTTTCACTACCTTGAAGTGATTCTAAAAGTTTGTTTATATATATTTTTTTTAATAACGGCATTTATGCTTACTGGCTCTGTGCAATGGTTTTGAGAAGTGAGAGAGTCTGGCTCTCGTGCACATTGCTGGACCGAGACTGGGCTCAGGTGTGTATGTTGGGGGGGAGCTGCACTCAGAAGGTATTTTACCTTCACGCATAGAATGCATTATGGTAAAAAAATTTCAGAAGCTGCTTCCCTCCAGCCCCCCTTAAACACTTGCCAGAGGTCGATCTTGATCCAGAGCTGTGCCCATCTACAGCAGCTCTTCTCCCCTCTCTCTCTTCTCACAGGGGACTCAGCAGCAGAGGGAGCCATTGGCTTCTGTTGCTACCAGTTAAATCCCATGGGATCGACCCGCATGAGTGCCCCCATAGCAAGCGGGGGGGGGGCACTCGAGAAGAGGAGGAGCAGATAGCACCGGTGGGGGAACCTCAGAAGAGGAGGTTTTAGGCCTGCTCAGTGCAAAACCATTTCGCAGAGCAGGTATGTATGACATGTTTATTATTTTCAGTAAAAAAGAGAAACTTTACAACTGCTTTAAACTCTGCAAAGAAAGAAAGAAACACACTCCTGTCCATGTTTTGCTTATACAGGGCACAGACAGTAATTGGTTCACTCAATTGCTGATTACTTACCTTCCCTTTACTCCTCTGCTGCTTTGTTCACCCATCTGAGCGAAGTAACATACCTGCTACTTCTAGGCACATGAGAGCATATGTTTACACCCCCCCCACAATGCCTTGCTGGGTGCTTGGATGGCAAAACAAAACAGTGCTACATACTGTTATGTGGGGGGGTTAATTAAGTGCCCTATTGCTATGCCCTTCATGGGCAAAGCACCGCTTTACTTTAAAAAAACATTTTTCTATGTTTGTGAGGTGGACAGGGGGAACTAGTACTTGATTCCAACCATATGAGCTTGTAGCTACTCCTCCCATGTTGATACATGTACTAGGGTTGGTGGGTCCCGTGGTGGATCACTAGGGTGACAGTCCATCAGGCCCAGACTGGGACAAAAAATAGGCCCGGGCATTTTAGGCTGAGTAGCCAATTTTTCTGGGGGAAGGGGGGGCATTCGCGGGGCAGTTGGTGATGGAATATTCACATGGAGTCAGTACTCTGCTCTGTAATGTAAAAGAGCACTGTGATATAAAGGAGACTGCACTGTAAAGGGGCACTGAATTGATTACAGTGCCCTTTTACAGCGCAGTCCCCTTTATATCATAGTGTCCCTTTACATTTCTGTGCCCCTAGAGATCTAATCACAGTGCCCCCTATATATTTAAAGAGATGGCCCAATCCCGCAAAGAGACATCCCAATATAGCAAAGAGACTGCCCAATCCAGCAAACAGACATCCCCATATAGCAAACAGACAGCCCATCCAGCAAAGCGACATCCCGCCCAGCAAAGCAACATTCTGCCCAGCAAAGCGACATTCCGCCCAGCAAAGCGACATCCCGCCCAGCAAAGTGACATCCCGCCCAGCAAAGAGACAGCCTAATCCAGCAAGCAGACATCGCCATATAGCAAACAGACAGCCCATCCAGCAAAGAGACATCCTGCCCAGCAAAGAGACATCCTGCCCAGCAAAGAGACAGCCCGTCCAGCAAAGCGACTTCCTATCCAGCAAAGCAACATCCTGCCCCGTAGAGAGACATTCTGCCCAGCAAACAGAAAGCCCATTTAACAAAGAGACAGCCCATTCATCAAAGAGACAGCCCGTCCAGCAAAGAGACAGCCCATCCAGCAAAGAGACAGCCCATCCAGCAAAGAGACTGCTCATCCAGCAAAAAGACAGATGACCCAGAAAAGGGACAGCTCACCTAGAAGAGAGACAGCCCAATCCACCGCCGAGCTATCATGGTGTGCTGGTGGGTGAAGGAGAGGGGCCGGCCGAGGTGGTGTGTGTGTCCTCGGTGGTGCTTCCTGCCTGTCGCTGGAGCCATCACTGCCACTCCTCCTGTCAGCCCTGCTTTGGGCATAGCCACACAGCGGGAGGTAAGCGGCGGCCATGGTCTGCGTTAGCTTTGTCTAGACCGCAGTCGTCCATTATCTCCTGCTGTGCGGCCCGGTCATCAACAGGCCACTCTTCTTAAGCTCGGCGGCCCCGGCTCACCGGGCAAATGTTTGGTGTGCCCTATGGCCAGTTTGGGCCTGCAGTCCATACAGCTTTTAACTTACATGACTAAGGTTCATTAGGGTCCCTACAGTATATATAACATGTACTCCTGAAGTGTTAGAAACGCGTTGGATCCTATGTGAAGCCTGTCACTTCTTAGCGATAACTATTTACAATCTATATGTCATGGAAAAAACACTGGTGGTATATTGTATGGACTTTCAATGATGAATTGACCACTATGCATGTTTTTTATCATGAGTAAGATGTAATAAAGAAAGCGTGTTTATCATTTTTTGTTCACATGGTTACCACATTCATTGTCTATGTGCCTTTAAAAGCCCCTCCTACATATATGGGTATTGAGATTATTGATTTTTAATTTTTTATGCACTGCAGTGCACAGGTTCAGTTAAAAACTAAGCCCGTATTTTATATCTGGTGGTGTATTTTTTATACACTGGTGCCCATTAGTTGAGTTTGTGCATGCTTTAACCAAACAAAAACATATTGCAATGCCTAAAAAATCACACCTTAAATTATGCAAACTGCTTGCTTTTCTAAAACACCAAATTCACAGACAGTGCCTCATTCTGTTCTCAGGCATGTAAAAGTTGCACAGAAGGTAAACTTTGGTGCGTGTGTGTGTGTGTATGTGACTTGTCTGATGGACAGAAGCAGTACATGTGAGGTTAACACTTTCCTTTCCTTTTCTCAAAGAGAACAGGAAAAGCCCAACCCTCCCATCTAATGCACAGATATCTTCTAACAATTAAATACAAATATCCCTGAAAATATTGTTTCCAATTTTAAAAGCTGTCTCGCCTTCTAAGATTGTATCTAGGTACTTGTAGACTGAATATTACTAAAAGGTAGGTAGCAATGATGAATACATAGGACAGCTGGGTCTGATACAAAGTTTGAATAACATTAAAATGTGCACATAAAAGTATACACAATGACTGTACTAGAAAATGAGTTTTACTTACAGGAAATAATTTAGATTTAATAAAATCTTGCCAAGGTATACTTATTTCCCGTACTGTAAATTCTGTAGAGCTTCTCCACAATGATATATACTGCAGCTAGTGGCTTGTCAGTACAAGTCCTAATGGCTGTGAATTTCTGAGTAATGCTGCTATCAACAGCTGTGTTAGTATTCCTGAATCGCTGGGCTCTGTTTCAGTGTTGGTAAACCTATGCCTTTTAGCAAGCAACTGGTACTAGCAAAATGATGTGTCCATCAATTACCATGAACTAATTACATTTTCTTGGCAAAAAGGCAGTTGGAATTCTGCTTCTTCCTATGACAGGTAATAGAATTTCTAGTCTAGTATATACAGTCTACACTTGTGCTCCCAAATGGACCAGAAGTCAAAGCCTTTTTTGGATCACTAAGCTCTATGGAGCCAATAGGCCAGAGACAACTGGTCCTTGGTGTAAGGTAAATCAGCTTGTCCAGAGATTGAACCTATTTGTCCCTTGTTGATAGGATGTTGAACCGTAGGGATCTGGAGTGGAACTTGGAAACAGGATTGCCTCAAAATGAAGCTACCATGAACCCCAGGACTCTCATGCAGGAGAAAAGAGTTGGTCAAAATCCTGGACTGAAGTGTCCGGGTCTGAGAGTTGAAAGCTTGAAGTTTTTCCTAGAAAAGAAAAGCCGTGGTTTGAGCCGTGTCTAGGATAAGGCCAAAATACTCCAACGCTGACTTCTGGAGCTGTTGGATGCAACCAAACCTAAATTTGCCATATTGTTGACCAGGTCTTGTGCCAACTGTTTTCTCAACATGGAGGTCATCTAGGTATCCCACAATGCCCTGGGAGTGTAACAGTGTAAGCACAGGGGCTAGAACCTTGGTGACCACACAGGGTGCAGAAGACATACCAAACAGCAGGGTCATGAGCTTGAAATGCCAGGAACCCACAGCTAAGGAATGATGTGTTGAAAAAAGTGCCTGATGTCCACTAGGCCCAAAAAATCTCCTTGATAGAGTAAGACTGTGACAAACCTGGTGAATTCCATTTGGATTTTCTGGGCCTGAATGTAGACATTGAGGGTCTTGACATCCAAGACAGCAAAATGTCACCTTTTGGGTGAGGGAAACTGCGAAAAGGTTGGAATAAGATCATTACAACCTTTGTGCTACAGGAACTAGGGCAATATCCCCATGCTTCAGAAGATATGCAAGGACTGCATGAAGGTAACACAGTCGGTGTGGAGGCTGGTTCATTCCCCTAATGTTTGACATAACAGCATGAAGGCCAGGACAAATTGCAATGCAGGGCTAGGCAGAAAAAATAAGGTTTGAAAGAATCTCCAAACATTTATTTATAAGATTCCTAATGATCAAAGCATCCCTGACAGGAATCATCAGCATTTTATTAAGACAGCCACAGGAAAACTTCTCAATAAGAGTCTCGCTAAACAGATATAGGATTGCAAACTGTTTGGGAGATGCAAGTTTATTAGGAATCTCCCAGTCTCCATGTAGGATATCTGGGTCTAGTGGGAGCATCGGAAAGGTTTTAGTAATTTTAGAAACACTAAAGGGATTTCAGACAGGTAGCAGCAATAATACAAGTTACAAGCTATTTTTAAGGGGTGTGCATCATGTCACTAAGACCTAAAATGGTCTCTCTACACCTAGGAGCAATGGCAGCTGTTTGACTCCTCAGGGGCAACATCATCGTGGCTTCCTAAGACTTCTCACCACCTAGGAGCAATGGCAGCTGTCTGTGACTCCTCAGGGGCAACATCATCATGGATTTCTAAAAGTTCTCA